ATTTCTTTATAAAAGTTAAAAGCGTGCGTTAATTAACGCGACGAACGCCGCACGATTTCGCGGAGCAAACGTGAAATGAAACAACTACGATATTGAATTATTGGATTGAATTGCGTTAATGCAAGTTTATAACATTATTTATAATATAGAAATGTTTTCAAATAGTCACTGTTTAACTCCTTGTGATTAGGTGGGTTAAAAACTGTTTCATCTTTTGTCTAGCTTTTTATACATGGTGGGATGTATTTTGACGAACTTTTAAAAGTTGAAGTTATTGATAGTGGGTTTACTGTTTTGTTAAAAGCTTTTCATCCAATTAGCAATGCTATGGACTAACAGTGAATACGTAGATAAGTGGAAACAAGAATTTATACAAGTCAAAACGCATTAGTATGTCGTTGAGACTGTTGCGATTAAGGTTAACGAATTGTGTGGCATAGTCAATTCTGTAGCTTGGGTTACTTTCTTCAAAATCGTGTACCTCAAAGAGTATAGTGAATTATAACGATTTGATTGGGGTCATAGGTGAGACTCATTCGCGTTAATATTCCAATTGTTTCATGTTTCAGTTCAGGTATTGATAAAACAGCTTTTTCAATCATTTCTCGAGGAAGTGTTTCAACGTAGCCGGTGGTTCTAGTGTTAATTTCCAAAGTGAGTTCGTGGACATCGTAAACACGGTAGCGAAACGGTCACTGCTAAAATTAAATCGAGTTACGTGTCTCGGTTTGATTCCTTTTTATGGGATCAAGTGTAACATTGCATGTAGGTCAATATTTCTGGAAATCGTTAAGAATCGCGGATATCGTTGCGAACGCTGAGTATGAATTTATTATAATAGAACAATAGGTAGATTTCCCGTTTCGAATGGGATAATCGTGAAAGTATTGTTATCAACTATTAATATTATTTCCAAATATTCTATTGCTCTAAATGAAATGAATTCAAACTAACTTATACATGTAATCAATTCATCATAATAAATTAACAGAATTAACGAATCAATTATAATAAATTCAAACTTCCAGCAAGTTTAAGTATTTCCATTAATTTCTAAATTTTTTTCTGTTCAGGTTCTATTCATCATAATAAATTAACAGAATTAACGAATCAATTATAATAAATTTAAACTTCCAGCAAGTTTAAGGATTTCCACTAACTTCAAAATTTTTTTCTGATCAGGTTTTATTCGCGTTCATCGCGCGTTAAGAGACTGAAGATCGCGACGAGGTAAGATGATCTAGCAGTGTCTCACGAAATGATAATCAGTAGCTGACCGAAGCGAGCTGCCTCGTGATTTGAAGAATGGATTTCCTTTCACGCGCTAGATAAAAGCACGGACGTGATTTACACCGGTGAAACTGGTTCCACGAGGAATATCCGTCTTAACGTTGTACTCGCGCAGCGTTTTTCTCCCATTTCCTTTTTTTTCCTCTTTCGCCGACAAAGTGTTGCAAAGTAAATTCGACCAACGATCTGTGGTACACGCGATCCACGAATCGAAAGTAAACGCGTAATGCAAGCGTGAAAGCGAGTACAGGCGAATAACTATTTGGTTTGTTATGCGCATACATTCCTGGAAACGACACGGAAGTCGAGGAGTTCGTCTTCTGTATATATTTCCACGGAAAAACGAAACTGCATGGAAACTGCAGCATTGAAACATGCATCGAGTAAATTTGCGGTCAATCCTGTTTCTTAATTATCTCCATTAACATATCAAAATATTGAATTATCTTAATCCCATACAACACTATTCAACACGATTAATAATCACTAGAGAAATTCTAACGATACATTCAGTTTCTTCAGATATTCATTATAATATTCAAGTGAAACCAGTTTCAAAAGCATTTCGAATATTTAATACCTCCAAAACACCAAGGAAACGATCAAACTGAAACCAGTCGTAATTCAGTAATGCCAATGAACATTAAAGCTACCGACCAGTTAAATTGACTTATTAAGATTCCTATAGAAGCACCAAGAGTGCATCTATCGAGACTCTAATTTGCAATTCAGCTCGCGTATCGCTAAATCAATGTCTGCAATAATTTCTCAGTGGGACATTTATCCTTTTAACACGTTGAACGCACCATTTCATAGAGCAAAATACACGAAATGGAAAAGATATAATATTAAATCATTGAAATGCGTTATTATTATTGCACGCTGAGCTTGCTCAATATCACCGCGTTCGGAAGCATTGTTTATAATACAGAAATATTATCAAATAATCGTCGTTTAATTGAAATGAACTATAGTAATTTGGTTGATCATCGGTGACCCGGCATTCAACGTGTTACTAACTACGAAAAGAAAGAACGAGGAATGCCTCATTTTGATCCCGGTAGTTCCAGTGTCAATCATAACAGTACAAAGTCATTCTAATGTTAAACTTAACAGTATAAAAGTACAAAGCGTCCATTCCCATATTCCACCGCTGGAAACATTCGAACCATGGTTCACATGGCGCTTCACGGCGTATTTTCGAACGGCAGCGCGAGCGTTCGAGTTACAATTGTTTATCAACCGACGTTTACCAGCTCAATCGAACTTATGAATTAGTAATAAGATCGCCGGGTGTCCGTTTCGATTACGCGCTCGCTTCGATCGGCGTTCCGAAGGACACTTTCGAAGATTCGAAAATTCGCCGGCCGAGGACGCCGAGGGGAATCACAACAACGGGCGCGCGGTTTAATCGAGAGGATGGTGTCATCATGTGAATCCTCGATGGCCCCGGGGCTGTTGTGAAACGGAAGACGATCGACAGCCGGCGAGACCGATAGTTTTGAGAACCGCTTGCCGCGGAACAATGCCGCGGACGCGCGTGTTGTTGTCGTTGGAACATTAGGCATTGTTATACAGCGAGCCGGGACGAGCTCGCGAATACGGCTCGATAATGAAGACATAATTAAAATAATTAGTCGGCCGGCGACGGTGTCCGCCGCGCGAGTTGTTTGACTCGATCGAGAAATTGCCTGACACCGTTAACTCGCTTCTATTTCCTCGGTTAATGTAATTAGGTTGGATGAATGCCACCGGACGAATTTAACGAACGGCGAACATTTCCAAGGACCTCGGCGTCGATGTTCTAACATCATCGATCGAACGTTGAATCGTCGTCGTTGATGGAACGTTCAGCGACTGAGTTTATTTGAACGGTGATAGATTTTAGGCTAGAGTAATGATGATGTTATGTCCGGTAATTTGAATACAATAGACTTCCACGATATTTGTCACGGAATTAGAATAGATAAATGTCACCGGATAAATTCAATAAACGGCGAATGTTTCCGAGAACTTCGCACGCGATTGAATATTCAGTTGTTATCGTCGATGGAATGTTCGGTGTTCTTGTCTTTGAGTCTATTCGAACAGTGATAACTTTTAGACGATAACAATAACAATAACAACAACAGTAATAATAATAATAATAATAGTATTAATAATAATAATAATAATAATAATAATAATAATAATAATAATAATAATAATAATAATAATAATAATAATAATAATAAGACCAATAATTTTAATAAGATACACTTTCAAAAAATTGCGAAGTTCAAACTCGACAAATAATTCAGTTCTTAGTTTCAATGATTAATCGAACGTTTAATAGTTCTTATGTCATCTGAGCAGCGATAGATTTCAAATGATAATATTAATTCAACGACCTCGTGGATTAATTACTCCGTTACTGAACTAGATTTCGAAACTCCGTATTTCCGCGAGCGTTCAAAGCGAGTTCCTCGAACGGCGCGAAAACCATGCGTGCAGTGTTCTCCATTGAATGTTCAATCCGAGAGATCTAATTCATAGACGGCAGCCGCGGCCATGCTTGATTATGCTTATCGCGTGGTTCAATGGAAACGTTAAGGACCATTAGACGAATTGAATGCACTCGGCGCGGCATTCCCATGCCGGGAATAAAACAGAAAACTTTTCGGCTTGAATAACGACGGGACGATCGCCTGTCTCCATTGTGATAAATGTGTAACACAATGCTCTCTGTGCCAGGAAAGGTCGCGATATGCAGCCGAAGCGGAAGGAGGGAGGAGAACTAAGGCTGGATGGGATCCTTGGATCACTCGCCGGCCGGAGGACAAAGGGAAGGGACAAAGTCTTTGGGAACGATCTTTGGAAAGGCTGTCCTGAACTTCGATGATCTTCTACCTGGAGCCAGCACAGTCGGGTAAGTAGAAGATCTTCGTCCAATGCGAACCGTGCATGCAGCAGTGGATCACTACAGCTGTGACGCTCAGCTGATCACTGTTAACCCCTTGCCCTGTGATTTATTTCTCGTCTATGATCGATAGAACTACTATGCCATTAACCCTTTGTACTGTGTAGGCTCCACTGTGACACCATTTGTAGTGTTAAATATTTGAATGAATGAATTTAGAGAAAATATCTTAAGATTATTGAATTTTCTGCACATCCTGTATTAAGAAGGAAAATGAAAGAATGTAAGAAATGTTATGATATAACGTTTTTAATTATCGTTAGGGATACTGTAAAATAACTCCGCATTGTTGGCAGATTACAAAATAATCTGGAGTGCTTAATAATTTATTTGAACTGTGTCTGTGTGCTCTGAAGCGTAACAACTGTTAACAGAATAATATCTCATTCGGATTTAAATCCGAAAATAATATCTCCAGAGACTGGAAACATTTTTGTTTCTAACGTTGAGAAGGAAACTTCAAACGTACATCTGTATAATTATCAAAGTCGATTATCTTCTCTTTTCAACGTAGATTCGACTACAATTTCAAAAAACTGAAGTTCGAACTAAAATTTGATGAATTTTTATCGTTACCTTGCATGATGCTCGTATGTTTCGTTGTGACTGTTTTACAGGTATGTATTACTCCTTATTATAAATACTTATTTTATTATTTTTACCGATGTACGTACGTTATACGAATAGCAACAAGTTTCTTTTCCCGATAATGAATCGAACAATTTTCAGGCGAGCCCGCAGCAATACTGACCTCAACGAATAAGGATCCATGTTGCCTTCCTATGCGTCTCGCTGCAACAGCCACAATGCACGAGCCTTTCAGCCGCGAGAACTTCCCCTTCTTCCTTCGAACGTGTTAGTCAATCCCGACCTCACCTCGAAAGAAACCCTCGTCAGCTCAGAACGAAACTGTCGCACTTGGTCACCATCTTACGCTCTGGAAAAGAAAAATCAGCCAGCCTGTAATCGCTTCGAACGCTCGCCATTTTCCTTCTCGTTCAATGCCAGACCGTTAAAGGAACACGAATTATTCTGTCGTGTCACGTGAGCCACCGTACACTATCTCGCAAAAGTTTCCTTATCGTGGCAGTATTTTCCAGAAAAATTTTAAACATAATTACGTATATATAAATATATATATATTCATGATTAACAAGTTAGCTTTACTTATTTATAATCTACAAAGTCAACCGGACTTATTCAAACTGGAATTAATTGAAACGCCGATTTCTTGATTAAAAAGCTCGTGTTCCAATGATCAAACTGTCGAATCATTAGATAAAGTAGTTACATAGATGTATTCGTAATTAGCAAGTTTTATTCGTTCATAATCTACAAATTCGAACGAAGCTATCATTCGAAATGCAATTAATAGAAACACCGATTAATGGATTAAAAAATTCGGTTGCAGACTTCTCGATCGTATCGTAAATTGATTTTTTTTGTCGACAACGATCAGACGTTACAATTGATATACGTTTTACTACATATTAGATAAGATATGCTCTTTATTGCATCCCAAAGGACAAAGACGTTCCACGAATCCAAGAATCTCGAGTGGTCGTTGTGATACAATGTTCGCTGTAATGGCTTCGACGGTATACCTCGCGCTGCCTCGTCTAAGAAATTTAGTAGACGCCTAATGAACGTCGACAGATGATTTGAAAGTTATGTAACATGACGGTGAATCGAACGCGAATGAGACAGTCGTACATATCTCTGCTTTGAATAATTCACCGTGCGCTGGATACCGTGGCCGCGAACATGTGTTCCGAAGGAGACCGTGGAATACCATAGTTTAATGATACTGTAATTTCGTGTCCGAGACCGCCTCCGTGGCAGGACGTAAACTTTCTACGCGGCATTTTCGAGAAGCCCGAACATTCTGCACGCGGTATCCGCTGATCGATCACCGAGAGCCAGCAATCGCGTTCCCCCGAACCTTTTGCTTTCTCTAGATTTGACAATTGTTGCGTCGATAATTAACGCCGTGAATTCCGATACAGCCTAAGTGTGTTTTTAACGTTATCCGTATGAATTATTGATGTAAATGTTCAGTTCACTCAGGCTTATTTACCAATAATGAATATTCATTTGAAAATTAACACGCATATGTTAGTTAATGCTTATAGTAAAAACCAGGTAAATAGGTAATCAACGAAGAAGAGACGGATTGATTTTCTCGAAACGTTCGTTATGACTTGTTTTGGAACTGACGCCAATCTATTTCTCTAGAGTTCAAGATTACTTTCAATTTTTTTAAATTTATAGATCGTAGATATTTAATTAAAGAATACATCGCAGAACTGTCTGATGTTAAGAAAATCTATTAGAGTCCATGAACATTTTGCCTCGTCGTATTCGAGATGTTCAGGTCGTAGTTCAGCCTCGTTAAGAGATCGACGATAAACGATGATGAATTGATAACCGAGTATTCCGCGGTTCGCCCGCAATTCAGTTTATTAACGAATTAATCCTCCAACAATTTTCCGTTCGTGACCGGAAGACTACTCCGGTCAGTAGCAATTTAGTTTGATTCGGTTCAATTTGTGGAAAAAGCGGGGAACAAGGAACAAAATGGAAAATACCCGTGGAAATGTCTCGACGAACCAGCTGCCGGTCGGTTTGATCGAATTGAATCTATTGAAAAGTCAATTCGTCCGATGGAATTGCGGGGATAGATTCAGTCTCGTTTTCAAGCAAGCGAGCGAGCGAGCCGATTGATATCTTATATAATTGGAAGAAGCACAGCTCGCGTTAGGTGTAGAGAAGATTCTTCTCGAAGCATCTCTCGCATCGCTACGGGGAAAACACGTCCGTTTCCTCCTGTTCGTACTTTTCCGCCGCAAGGTTTCTCGAATTATCTCTTTTACGATCTCTAATTTTACTCCGGACGCACTAATCGGCTAACAAACTATTCTCTGTGCAAAGGACGCGGCGCATTTCCGTTTTTTCCTCTCGTACGACTGATACCTCCGAAATTTTTACTACAGAGCTATTAGTTGCACAGTTAATAGGCGCTGTTCGATGGTGAAACGGTCATAGCTTTTTCTTCTACAAAGAAACATTGAAACGTTGACATTACTCAATATATACATTCGATTTTCCATATCATATTCTCATATTCAGAGGAACTTAGAACGCTTCAGACGAAATTTCACCAAATTGCTTATCGTAACAAACGCGAATGATAGAATTAATTAGCAATGATTTGGTATCGTAGCTCTTAAGTTAAACTATTATTTAACTGACCACGTAACTAAATATTTTGATGCATCAGTTTTCTCGTAATCGTTTTCAAGTAATTTCTAGTTAACACTAGATTTACAGATATTTATTCTACACTTTATTCTATTGTTCCTAGAAGACATCTTTGTCTATATAGATCACGAGAATTAGCGTTTCAAGAACAGAGAATTATGTGTATTCGCAAACTTTAATCAAAGCCCACTTAAATTGTTGCCAAGTAATGTTTAAAAAATTCAATATCCCTCAAATTGACGAATTTCGTAAATCTAGCGTTAAGAATGCTTCCGTGTAACAGAGAAATTATTTCCACGGTTTTCCTACCGTGCATCTCATTTCGTTTCAACCTCAACTGCAATTTCATTCGAACTCGTGTGTCGTTCGAACCCCTCGCTGGCCAAGAGTAAACGAAACGTTCCGCATCTACGCGAACCAAGCATTCCCTTCATCGATGTCGCTCATCTCGGAGGAATTTCCAGGAAAAGAAAGAACGAACAAGACCACCGCGATTCCTGAAATCGTTCGATAATGAATCACGATCGATACCGATCGCGGGGGACTTTGCGCTCGGTTGCATAAGCGATTCACGTGCAGTGGACCCCCGTCGTCACGCGAGTGCAAATTAAGGACAGACGGGCCGCCGGTTATTCCTTTATATTGGCCGGCAATCGAGAACCGTCTTTGACGCACGCAATATTCGATACGACGCGACACAATTTGATCGAACATCTCGATCGACGCGTTAACCGCGTCTTCATAGAACGCCAGCTGAACGTTCGAGCGCTTATCTTGCGATTCCTTGAAGAGGAACGCTTATCCGCGTCAAATCGAACCGGTGGTATCACTTTTAACACTAGGCTTACGAATTATGGAATTTCGTCTCATGCGACGACCAAGATAATTACCGATCAGCCGACTATTTCGATAGGATTATGAGTGAATGTAGCGATAAGCTGAATCTTGTAACCGTTATTGAAACATTCGTACAATTAAATATCAATAATTGCGCATTTCTGAATCTATTTCCGAGATCGAAATGAGCAACAATTTCTCTAGGAACAAATTATACACTAAACTTCCGCAAATTTAACGTTAACCCTTTGCGGACGAAGATTCTTAGAAACATAGAAAATCAACGTATGAATCTAAATTATACATCAATTGCTTAATTAATAGGAAAAGAGGAAACTACGTGCCGATCTCTTGCTGTTCGACTAATTATTTTGTCCACGACTTAGTACTCCAAATCTGAACATTTGTTAAACTACAGTTGTATCGCTAAAATTCGGTTTCTAAAGGACACACTAAGAATCTTTGATTATATTCGAAAGAATTGAAGTTGATTAAAATTCAGAATTTCCGATCCGCAAAGATTGTAGTAAGCGCAGCTAATTACATTGAATCGAACTTTGTATTCCGCTTTTTTCCCGAACATACGCGTTCGCGTCTCGATTCGCGGTGCAGCGCGCGGGTAACTGTAATCGGTCTAGTTCCTATTACGACACAATCGTCGGAGGATAAGGTTCCGAGGAATCTGGTTGATAACCGCGCGTAACGTCACCGTGTACAGCGGGACGGACACAATGGCAATTACTCATTGTCGCAGAATCCGTCTCTGTCGCGACTCGATCCAATTTTTTCTCGTTTCACGCGTCAAAAGTTGCGTCGGTCCCTAATAACGATTATCATTCTGCTCGTCACGTTCGAGTAAAGCGAGGATCCGCGTGATTTCTCGTTATAATAATCTCTGAACGGCTAATTGGCCGTCGATCGTTGAGTCACCGTTCACACGCTCGTGACAGGCGTTTCTGCAGTAATCTCCGCGATTACAATACTTCATTAACACTAGATTTACTGACATTTACAGTTTGTTCTATTGTTCTTAGAATTGTTATCCGTTCATTTACATCGTAGAAATTAGAGGTTTAAGAGCAGACAATTAGGATGCACATTCGCACAACTGCGTTAATAGAAATCGACCCATTTACCGAATAATGCTTATAAAATTCAATATCAGTCGAATTGACTCGTTCCGTAGATCCAGTGTTAACACTGATCGTACCGATCAAACAACCGGTTCTCAAATTTGAAAATTCTGCGTTTTCGTTCATTTCACTTCATATTAATTCTTACGTTGCCTGATTAATCAGTTTTCCGTCTCTTTCTATTTCCGCTAAAAAAAACTTTGAACTCTTTGAACCTTTATTTCGTAGTCAGCTATGTAGCTGGTAACGGTGAATGTCAATGTCAAAGTCAAGTGTCGCTGGTTTATCAATCATCTTCGTAAAATGCAAATTCAAGAGAAACACCGTGCCGCTCTCCTTTATCATACGCCGCGCGTACGATTTGAAACACAGACACGTAATCTAATTTTCTTTGTGCGAGATAGAAAACGTTGAACGTCACAAACATACGACACTGACCGCAAAACTGTGATACGCGTCGTTGTAACGGTGTAATCGTCGATCGGCCGATACGCGAGATTGTCGCGTCGGGCGTTATCACCGTCTGCGAATTGAAACATGACGAAACAGAACGATTTCTTTCGATCGGTTACGTCGCTGTTCGAGAATTCCCCTAATATTCGCTCGCCCAGTGTAAACATAGATAAAACAGTCTATCCACTGAAACTTTTGCCGAGATAAACAATTAACGGAACCATCGAGCTCTCTGGTAATCGTCCATTCATAAACGCGCGATAGTGCGAGCGACTTGATAGGAGCGTTTAAACGGAAGCAAAACCAGGCGATTTCAAGAAAACACCAATTCAACGCGACTGGACGTTACCGGCAAAATTGCTTTCACTGGCGAACGTTATCAGAAGTTATTTTTACTGTTACGGTTCACATAAAAGTTGCTGACGAATGGTAGTTAAAACCGCCAACCCTCGATTGCCTTACTTTCCTAGCGGGTCATTTGTCTAGGAAGCGTTACAAGTACAGCCTATCCTGTATTTGATTTTTTCCTGTGTTCGTGGTTTGTCGAGAAAAGCTTCGCCTAGTTTATTTCTTGATGAAGCAACCGGTGGTTTCTCGCGTCGAGTTACTTTTGCACGAAAATAAATATTATCTTTCTATTAAGAACATTTGATCGTTGCAATAGATAAATATTGATTGATATAGATAACTATAGGCAATAAACGTGAAACTTCTTTTCTCTTCTAGTTAGCTGTTAAGAAGTTTCATCGAAAACGATGCGAACTGTTCAGGATAAGTTCGAGGATACGAAGATTTCCATTGTAGTCGTGGGGGTGAGAGGTCACGGAAAATCGACGTTTCGTCTCGGGCACAAAATGCAGACGTGCAGACTGCAGGTGCGGCTCCATTGTTGCGTCATTTAGGAGATTAAATCGCTTGGTGACGTAGCCGTATCTTCTCTGACGCCTGTGGAGATTCTTCGACATGTTTTTCTTTTGGATCCGTGAAGTGACGTATGCTACTAACAATAAGGTGCTGTTAAGCGGAATCCGTGATTTTTATGATCAGAATGGAGACTAGTCGTAAGGTAATTATTCTGTTCAAACCAAGCTGTTATTTTTTTCATCTCTGTAATATATACTAATAGTCGTTCATTTTCCGTTGTCTCTTCATTCTAAATCGAACTTGGAACTTTAGACAGTCTATGCGAGACCAAGATTTCAACCCTTAACTACTATAGAACGTCCATTACTGCCCCAAATTTCTGGCTCACGAGGTATTTTCATATTTTTATGGTAGATACTGTTCGATCAGTCTTTAGTTGGCAATATTAATTAAATAGCTACAATAAATATTAGTTTTTGGAATTTTCTTTGCGACGACTGTATTAGTTTGAACGTTCATATTAATTAAGGGTTAAGATGTACAATCGTAATGAGCGTAGCGATATCAGTCTACGGTGAGCCGTGTTATCCTGACCGAGTAACAGTGAAATAAACGTAGGTCACTAACATCGTGGCTATGGTCTATTTTCAAAACGGTAGCCGTTCGTATTTCCTGCGTGAAACGCGTGTCTTATATACGGCGAACTGCAGGCACGGAATGCGCGAACAGAGTGCCCCTGGCGATAGAACATACTAAACAAAGATATTGCTTATATATTTCCTTGATCATATATTATTTTTCTGATACAGACTATACTCGTTTTCTCGTTCATTGTACATTATTACAATCAAATTACTGCGCTAAACAAAGTTACACGGAAATAAGAAAATTAAATTAACGGAACCGGCATAAAATTTTGTACCGAAATTATATTTACATAACGCCGATGATAATTCAGCAAGCGAACATTCGCGTATACGACGGCGAATATCAGAATATTAACGAGTAATACAATTATCCAGTTTTATTGGAAAACAATTGTTGAAAAATTATCCAAGGTCAGGGCCCCATTGAGTTCGCGCGTTCCTCGGTGCCTACGGGACGCGGACTGTTCTCGAAAGCGGCTGCTCGGTAGATTTAAAACGGGTATTGGACTTTCGACGGGTCGCCTCTTCCTTTCCACTTCGCGAGCATCGGGGAGCAACATCAAAACAGAGCCGGTAATTTTCATTGGCGCAAGGATGTCGACGCAAATGCTTTGTCCTCGTGATCGCGAATAATAGAAACACCAGGAGAACGATAAACGTTGCCTCGGAATCTCATAAATAGTTCAAACTGCAAGTTATATACGATTATAAATCTGAATACCCAAACGATTGCATTTCGTTCGTTAAACCACCGAACAGATCTCAATATTCCTTTCAAAAATGGACAACAAACGGTACCATTCCATAAAGCAAAAGTTTGTCTTTCAGTACTTAAATCATGGATAACAAAGAACCAATTCGACTCCGAGAAGACGAGCACAGTCTTCCCTACGAAAAGGAACAACGGACTCTGAAGGATCCTCCGTGGCTTCGTTGCCAGCAGCACCGTGTTCCCTGCAGCTTCAAAGTGGTTGAAAACAGGTGTTCCCCATTGTGCTGCAAACTCGTTCTTCGTCAAGACAAAACAAAGTCTGCCCGCGGGACCGGAGGTCCTTCACACGAGCTCTGTCAATATCAATTTACGAGAGGCTAGTTAGCTCGATCAGTCCACCCTCCGGTGAAGACCCTCCCAACGAGCAAGCATTTGCCTGTCAATAATCCTATAATTTTCTGTGCAGCGAGAAAACCCGGTTGGCCGTGCGGATCGATCGAAAGTCAACGTCCGTCGTCTCTGTGTCATCTATTTATCGCTTGAAGCTGTCTCGATCCGGTTCTGCTTCCGTATACAGTACGCCGGCACCGTAAATAAGCTAGCGAACAAGGACTCACCTTCAGGACCTGTGTCTGCCGTTCTTCCCGGCTCGCTGCTCAAAATCGGCTCGATTCGGTAGCGGAACTGCTTGCCGGCCTTCGAAGAAACCGCTCTCTTTCTCGGCTCTCCCGGGTTTATCGCTTCTCCAAGCGATCTTCCTCGGCTCTTCCTGCAGCTGGACAGGAACAGGAGCTTCGTTTCGACTAAGAACGCGCCACGACGTTAGATGCGCGATGGTCGGAACGCGACTGAGGCCTGAAAACGACGCGCCTTCGGTCGATCGTTCCAGCCGCGACGCGACGCGACGCGACGCCTGCCGCCTCGTGTCGGTACGCCCGTGCCGACAGAGAGATCGATTTAACCCTCCCGACTCCAGCTATGTGTCTGTTCAACCCGGCACCGTTTCCAGAATTTATTCGTTAAGCCATTCGCTGCTGAAGAAACCCGTTGCGGTACGAGTTCTTAGTTTTTCACTGTGCAGTCTTGCGTCGATGTTTCTCGAGTCAATAGTTTTATAGCGCTTTAGTTGTTCGTTTCAAGACGTTCGAGAAGCACTGAAATTGTAGTTATGTATGATATAATTATGGTACTACGAATAATTGTAGCGAAGGTTCGTTGATTATTTAATTATTGGGATAAATTGAATGTCGAGTCTAATTTGACAGCACTGAAAAGGGTTAAGAGATACGGTTGGGAATGAGTTAAGCTGGAAGGGTAGTTTCTGTACCGTTGACCTCTGGATTATCGAGTAGACAGGAGGGTGGATTCTCATAGAAAAGCGAAATTCCTTGAACCGCATCGTTCTCAAGGATTTCTTTATTTAGCAGGGTAGTTTTTGTACAGCCGATTGTAGTCGTTAAGGGTTAGCGAGTAGAATATGGATGCATATCAGAATTTCTCTTCTCGGGAAAGCTTCGATTCCCGGTTATCCAGGGGCTTTGATAAACGAAGATTAACTGATAATATGTCTGACGGATGAAGATTCATCGTGTTGTCTCCTTTTGCGATAGTGGGGCTGGACCATGTTAACAATAGAATGTTTCGAGGAAGTGGACAGAAGTGATGCATCGAACAAAGAGCCGAAACACACTAGCTTTACAGACATTCATTAGAACAATACAATAAACTGTATTGTCTCTAGAAAAACTGTTATTAATTTATTTAGGGGTTAAAAAAATGGACCATTAGAATACATTGTTGTATAGTTGCATCAATTAAAATCAATTTACCAAACAATGTTAACGGAATTCAGTGTATCACTATCAGATTGACGTGTTCTATAATTCTAGCGTTAATAATTTATTTAAACATTTATTCGACCATGTTCGTAGAGCTCGTGTGAAACGGGAATTCCCGTGCAGGGCAAATTGGCCTCTCGTTATCCAAGGGTTAATCCAATGCGCCGCGACCGCTGCAAATAGATTCCCGCCTAAGAAGCTTTCGACGTTGTCCAGCTTTCGTTTCGCAAACGGACGGCCGTTCGCGCGTGAGTGTAGGTGATTTACAGATGTCGGACGTAAGAGCACGTACGGGTTCACGTGCACGCTGTACAGCGTTACGAAAATGGCAACGGGCACGAAGGCGTGCGAATCACGTGGACACTTGGTCACCGGTTGCACGGTGCACCGTACACATAAATCCTGGCATAGAAGTCAACGTCTTCGACAGTGTGCACGCGATGCAGCGCTAATGCTATGAACTCAGCGGAGTCTCGGTTATCCGGGGTAACGTGGACTGTGCTTACCTCGGATAATTGAGGAATGGGATAGCGTGGAAGGGTTGCCAGATAAGGGTTGGTAAATCGTGCAATGGAATCATGGAAAACACTTCGATTGTTCTAGTATGCATTCAAGTGTAATGTATTGTTAACCCATTGCCGTCCATTTTACAGACTGTATTAATGCATTCATTTGTTTATTCTTTAGTAATACATTGAACAGAAATTACGTAACAGTCTAGATAACGTGTAAGTTGATTTTGTGTACGATTTTTAACGACTGGAACAAGTCAAAAAGAACTGCGTTTCTACGCACGATTTTGAAACTAAAAATGTGGCAATGGGCTAACACGTTCGCTACTGAGATTACTCTCATAAATATTTTTATTTAAAATTATAAGATACGGCATTATATTTAAAGACTCAATGACTCGCTTCAATCTCATTTTTTCAATATCTCGTTTTGGAGGTTTGCTGAGTTGAATAAAATATTAGAATTGAGAAGTTCGTCGGTGAAACAAATGTAGCTAACGTGTTAAAAGCACTCTACAGTATACATTGAAAAATCTCATTATATTGTTTATAATCTAAAGACTTTGGAGTGCAAAGGGTTAACAGTGGCACGAGGATCTTCAGCGCTTCGTATCACTTATCATTCCGTGACAAACGTAATTGGTTTTAGTAGCAATTAATAATTACTAGATATCGCAGTTCTCGTTGACAATACCGTTTCTAAAACGAGCACGGACAAGTTCAGGAAAACATGTTTTTGCGTCCAATTGCGAGCAGTAAACGATGATCGAATAGAGGACACCAACGTACGAGTCGAACGGCGTTGAAGTTAAAGTGATAAAAGAGGGCATTTTCATGCGCAATAAATAAATGAAACGCGACGACGATTATAATTCATTTGTTCCTCGTACTACGTCTCGTTTACGATAATCGAAGGATACTTTTTTTATGATTTTAATTGTCGACGAGACGAAACATATCGATTAATTAAGCACGATAACGCGGTGCTGAGAGGATGATAATAGATTAGTGCAGGTGAAGTGTTGGGTTTTCTGGTGACAACTGACGCCGTCGCTAAATTTCGAGCATGCTTTTGCTGGCTAGACGTACAAGATTAGATCACCGGTTTGGAATCCATTAAAATTCCAAAGCTCTTATTTAATTAGGTATCAATTTGTTCGTCAGCTCTCTTTAGCTAACACTTTAACGCGTTCGCTATCAGCGACATTCGTATTTCACCTGAGGTGATATAAATTACTTTTACATGTTCGTCTAAATCCTTAACAAAGTGAAGCAATCTAGGGAAACATAAGTCGACCGGATCTTTTTCTGCAATTTTATCTGTATTTCGTAAAAATGCCACGTTATTTTCAATGCAGTATCGTAATTGTGAAAGTGTCGATAATAAATGTACTTGTTTATGAGCTTAACTGCGATGAAGATTTATATGAACGTATTGAGAGATAATAATCGATAACAAAACTATCTCAGAATTATGCAATAACAGCAATAAGAACAGTTAAGTAAGAATTATACGAATTAAATACTAGACAGCGGAAAGAAAGTAAAAAACAGTAACTAATAGATTAACTGAGCAGATAAAGCTTGTAAAATGGGACGTAATAAACGTGCTGTGTAAAAGGTAGATACATAGTAGTGTCGAGTTAACTCGTCCCTCTTGTTAACCGGTTGAACCCGGATTCACGGTATCGATCTGATCGCTATCAACAGTCGAAATATTCTTCGTCGGCCAGTGCATGAGTGATCGTTGATGGGTTCAACCAGAAATTGATAGCTTCCATCAATCCATTCACTGTATCGAAATCGTACGACTTGTTAACACGTGCCAATGTCTGGTCAACTTTATCAGTAGATTGTGGATATTTATGTCAACGTAATTAGGTACTCGGAAAAGTGCAAATTAACGTGCATTCGTCGTAGGATATAAATGAATAGTAATCGATAGTAATCAGTAAAATTAATTGTAGTCAATTTCTGTAAATTTACTAACACGTTGAATGCCGCACGATTTCATGGTACAAAATACCTGAAATGGAAAAAATATAATATTAAATCATTTGATTGAATTGCATTGTTATTATTGCATCTAGCTGAATGTCACCACATTAGTTAGTATTATTTATAATATATAAATGTTTTCAAATAATCATGGTTTCATTGAGTATAGTAATTCGATTTGGTTGTCACCGGTGACTCCTATGGCATTCGACGTGTTAATTACCGAGAAACGATTGTTGATCGTTAAATGTCGCGAATTAGGATTTTATGGTAGTCGTGTAGTTGTCGTTTCATTCGTTTGTATTGTTTCCATCTTTTTCTCGGGGAACTCGAGTAAACAGAAGGATTCCCGAATGTTCGTAATTCAGAATCGTTCCACGGGTTCAACTGTTCACTTGACCCGATTTTGTTGACGCTAGACCTTCGTGCTGAATCGTGTCGCAAATGGAAATTTCTTTTATTTCCGTAGAACGCACTTCGTGAAACGATCGAGAAACGTTCGCTGCACTTTTGTTTAATATCGTTTTGCTGTTCGAATTATTTCGAACTATAATTGATGGGTCGCGGGTTGTCTTACTCGGTCTATAATTCAAGTTTTAGCGGCTAGAATAAACTACTAGATCGGTAAGTCGCGTCGGTAACTTGTACGCAGCGCTGACGACATGCACTCAGCGTTTCGTGGCATTTCGTGAAACTGATGTTTAAAATGGCGACGTGGAGTAAGGTTTTACTCTCAGCGGGGCAAAATTTCATCAAAAACAATGGATTACTGAGAAAAACAGTGCCAAATTATGGTAACTGTGAGTGATAGAAATATAGTAATTATGATAATTAATATGCTAACTTCACGAGCAAAGCAACATCGCTGAAACTGATAGTCTTTTGTTATGTAACTTTCTCTATCGAACGAATTTAAAATAATCGTAGCTTTAGTATTGTTATACTGTTGATGTTCAATGTCATGTTCCGATGCGACTGTCATTTTTATTTTTTTCGTAACACTTGTAAATAATTATAGCTGGAAATTAAAATGGAAGTTGTCACCGGTTATAGTTGAATGATAGGTTAACAACGCAATAGTAATATGAACGATATTGTGGTAATAGTATAAAGACTTGTATAATTTCGATGGTTCATTTATGACTCATGTTTATTATTATTTAATGGTTAATATTTCTTTGCAGTAAAAGTGGAAAGTTTTATATTTATTAAACATGCTGTTTGTTACATTGAAACAGGGATAAAGCTTTTCTTGTGAAGCTGCTTGCATGAAACATACATCTAAGAATAATCTGATATTAATATAACGTGCTTGGTTACACTAATTTATTCATTTTCAGGTGTTATCAACCGCATGGCTCATGACCGTAAGATGGTCATAGAACCAACTCGTTGGCAGTGGCATAAAACAAAAGATTGGTTTCACTTCTACTTCTTTGTTGCGGCTATACCACTGACTTTAATAATATCTTATTGCAATATCTTCATAGGACCAGCTACATTAGAGCCAATTCCAGAAGGCTATATTCCCAAGCATTGGGAGTATTTTAAAGTAAGAGGGAAAGACATTTCAATTAAGCTACACATAAGAAGTAAAATAGGTAACATATATTTTAACGCTTTACAGTCACCTATCACGAGATGGCTTGCAAGATACGTTTATCCGCAACCTCAGATGTTATATGAGCAGAGTATAGACGTATTAGTAAGGCAAGAAGAAAGGAGAGCCCTAAAAGTGTTGCAAGCCAGAATTGAAGACTATATCAAGGAATATCAGAATTACCCGTTGTTCTCTTATACCAAATCAATGTATGCTCGCGACATTGTTGAATACAGAAAATTAAGAGAAAATGTTTGAAATATCTTTTGTCTATATTGTAGAATGATTGGTATGTTGTGTCAATGAATTAATGGACTATTCTAACAACATTACAGAGAAATATTAGTTCAATAAAATGAAGTACAGTAATTGTTTCTGCGTTATGATTCAATGGAAATGTATTTTTTTCCCTGATACTGTTGCCAATAGGTAGTTAAAATTTCTTTAAGGAGCCATCATCGGTGTTTACTAGGAACATGAATCTACATAGTAACAAGAACAATTTGTCGATAACTGATCATTTTACGTTATCCTTAGCCAACATAGCAGTTTACGATATTACCGATTATTGGTACGACATTCGAGTCAATAACATTCTAGAGCACCATCTGTACTGCAATCGTAGAATCATTTACTCAATATAAAATGTAGAGTATCCACATCTTTTTCAAAGAGGAACAAAATTAAAGCGAAAATCGAAAATGTTCCGTAAGAGTAAGATATACTTCAGAAACACTTTATAAAGCTGATACTAAAAATACGTTAAAAAATGATTAACACTGGAACCACCGCATGAAACAACCTATTGCAAATGTACCCTGCGAATATTCAAATAATTAAAATAATTAAAATGCTTTTGTGAGAAGCGCAATCAATTCATATATCTCTGAATAATCAACAACTTATAATCTTACATTACAAAACGACCTAATCATTTCAAGGTTGCAATTGTTATCTCCATTGAAATTTCGATTAACAAATCTTTCATAAACCGTTAACTACCAATATTAATATATTAACCAGCACAATTGCATTTTAGGAGTTGAAAGTGTTTCAAGAACCAGACGTTCTCAACGATCGAATCTCTCTCCAAACCAACTGCTCTCAAGGATCCGAATCCTTCTCGATCTTTCTTCGATCCGCGCGAAGATAAAAGGATCTCGGATTGAGCCAGGTCGTGGCTGGGAAGCGAGCGCTTGTATTGCACAACGACAGACAATCCTGGCGTCACGTGAACCGCAGGTAATTGACACGGCGCACGGCGGAAGGAAGACAGAGGAAGACAGCAGAGAAAAGGAGACGGCGAATCGTAATTGAAGATCAATTCGCGCGAGGAACTTGTTTGATACGACGACGCGTAGAAATCGTTCGCTGTGCCTGCCGCACGTGCAAAATCCTCCGCGTGTGGTCACCAGGGCATTATGCAAGACACCCATGAGCCAACCTTGGCAATGACCATTAGCCATGAGTTGTGTTCGCAACATTGTACAACGTCGGCCTGTGTGTCATTAACTCGCCACTAGAATAATCGCGCACCGTGGATCGTGACCAACGTTTCTGACGGCCACCTTTTTTGCTTCCATCCCCGCTAACCCGATCGTGAACCCGAACTTTTCCAAAATTCCCCGGCGATTCATTTAACCGGCGATTCGATCGGCGTATCATTTAACCCTTTGCACTCGGAAGGTGACTCTCAGTCACGACTTGATTTTCTACAGTGAAGCTATAAAGTCTGATATTTAATGTTATACTTCATATAATGCATCAATCTAAGAAATATTGACGTAAAATAGCTTTGTCCGTTAATTCACGTGAATTTCTTGTCGAGTTGGTTTTACAAAATATCGTCTTCATCTCATCAGAAAATGTTGAAATATTTCTACCGAAAAACTTCGGAGTGCAAAGGCTTAACACGTTGAACGCCGAGCGGTTTCACAGAGAAAAATATTCACAATGAAAAGAATATAATATATAATCGAAAAACTTCTTTACTGGAATCGCGTTAACACTGTTGCACGGTTATATTGCCTGTAGATTGCCTTAGGTCGCATAATTGGCATTATTTGTAATATTGACTTGTTAAGCGCGGTTTAATCGAGTGAATTACAGTAATTTCATTGCATGAAATTTTAATAATCATACTCATTACTTAATTCATTCGACCGCGTTGGTCAGGAATGGTAGATGTATATGACTTGGCGAATAGTTAATCGTCTTCTTAATTATCTGTATTTACCATTGTCTTTTCTTTCATTTTTTTCATTCAGCTCAATTATCGAAGTATCGGAAGAAACACGTAGACGTTATTTCTAATTTTTGCATAGATTATTCTGTGATATATTTATATATATCGCACTTATTTTTTTTCTTCGGTTAAACGAGATGGAACATTGTATAGACAAGTAAAAAGACTATAATTTCACGGGATTGATAGCAGACGCAGCCGAGCGGAGGACGGTAAACTGAAATATTCGATGAAGCTTGACGGGAACTTCATTTTCTTTACTACTCAGCCGCCGGTTCGTCGAGATAATAAATCTCCGTTTCATTCCTGTCGCTATCGATTTAACCGCGAATACACACGGCCTGGCAATAAAAACGAATGAAATGTTTCTTTCGCCGAAGGTTAATAGTACTCGGATCTATTGTGCACGCTCAACGAGTACTCGCGAACGATGACTCACCTCGGTCGGGACGAATTAATCTGTCAAATCCTGAATTACGCTAAAACACGGGACGCGGAAGCATGAATTCTTCCTAGGAATCGATGTACAACCTAGCATCTGATATCGTTAACGTTACAGAATAATATTTGGACCTCGAATTAGTCTAATTCGTAGAAAAGAAAGTGTAGGATTGAACGCACGTAATACTGGGAAATAAATACGTTCAACGTGTAACGCTTCTTTGTCAGTAATTATATTTATCTGATTACGTTCTCGAGAACTTGAATCCACGAGAAATGCAGATTTTTCGTAAACGCTTGAATACTCGGTATATTACGCATTTAATATAAACTGAATTACCCATTATCGCTGGCATCGTAATTGCAGCGTTTCGGTTACGTGTAGAAATCATTCCGTTGAATTTTGAGTAGCAATCAGCAAAATTCAGCCATTACGCAGATAACATTTAACATTAACATTATGTCGGTGGTACATAACTGCGAGGATTCTTCGCAGTGACCGTGCTTATTATCTAATATGTAATATAACGCAGCTTGGTAACAGATCGTTACATCACCTGCTACTTCAATTAGCCACGGCAATATTAATTTACCGCAAGAATAACGATCGTGATAAAAGATCGAGGCAGCATCCTCGATGCATGTAACATCTACGTTCGGATTCTTCTCGAAGAGAATTTCTGACTAATGCGATCGAAGGAATTAAGAAATGATCGTAAACTCCAGACAAAGTTTCGATTGGGATATTCCGTGGAATCTCGAGCACGATAGAATTTTTGATTCGTTCATCAATAATCGAATCGATCATTTGCCGAACCGATTAACGAAGTATTCACGAAACGGAAATCAAGGGAACCGATCAAATCCGATCATTACTAGGTTCACCGTCAATATGACGCATACTGCATTTTATAAACATCAATTGGTAAACGTTTAACGTTTTTTTAATAAATATTACTCGCTGAATGAACGAATATAAATTTTTCTGGGACAATAGAACAAACAGTGAAATAAATGGTCGTCGATATGCTTAGTCCGCTCCGATTTCGATGATTTTCAAATATCTTGTTGGTTATATAGTTTTGAACAATATTTTCCTTTATATATTGTCAACGGAAGGTTTTAGTTTCACCATATTTGAAAAACTTCACCCAATATCTATGAAGCTAGTGTTAAAGCTTCGAGCAAACATTTTGACGTACAGATTCGAAGGGATTTATTTGTTAATTTAATATATCTAAATTTTATTTTTATTAATTTATTACAGTCAGCTTTAGCAGGTATTATGTTAATCCGCCCCGAACACGATTGTCTCGTATCGTTATTTATTAAAACAAACAGTAAGATGATTACGAATTTTCAAGCGTACGTGACGCAACTGGAGACCCCGCGTTCAGTCCGCCATTTTGGTTGTTCAACGTAATGATACCCCATTTAATTCTATTTCATTTGATCTACGAATCTTGCATTCGCTTCTGTTGTATCCATTATTTTTTGCCCATGAATTTCGAAGCTCACGTTGATAATACAGTGAACATTGAGTAACTGCAACCTCCTTATCCCCACCGAGTTCTTTTTAACATGGCAACCGCTCGACGACCAACCGCTGTTTAAGGGATGTAATATGATCTGACATAATCGAACTCGATGATTTCGACGTCTGTTTCTTTTTTATTCTCTACATCGGAAACTTCAATCGCTTATTATACAAACAATTATGAAGCAATTAACACGTTGAATGCCGTACGATTCCACAGAGCAAAATACACGAAATGGAAAAAATGAAATATTAAATTATCTGATTGAATTTCATTATTAATATTGCATGTTCATCTAGCTGAATGTCATTGCATTAAATAGTATTATTTAGAATATAGAAATGTTTCCAAATAAACATCGTTTAATTGAGTGAACTATAGTAATCCATTTGGTTGGTCACTGGTAACCCCATGGCATTCAACGTGTTAGTCAGAAAAACATAAACATGACGGTGAAAGCTTCATTCATCGAAAGTTAAAAATAAAGAAGTCTGATTTTTGAGTTAATAGTCTTCAAGCATTAGGTTTACGGACGTTTATTGCACTGATTATTCCATTGTTTCTAGAAAGATTGATGTTCATTCATTTAAATCTTGAAAGATCAGAGATTTCAAAATATTATTAGGATACAGATTCCTGTAATTGCATCAATCAAAACGTACATAAACGTTTACCAAGTAATGTTTATAAAATTCAATATGCGTCTTTTTTTCCTTCACTCGCGTTGTCCTCTACGTCCGCCATGCTGAAATCTTCGTTTCTTAGGGTGGATTCGATTTTACCTCTTCATAATTGCAACCTTCCGGTCTCGTTGTGTGTTGCAATTAACCAGTGTTCACTGTGGGTATTTACTTTATCGCGCACGATAATTAGCTACAGAACAATTAGAAACAATTATAAAAACAAAGAAGAATACGAAATCTTCTCCGCTGCGTTTACGTTTATATTTTCCTGCTACATTTCTATTTACTTGATTTAAAACAGATTTATACGGATGATTGATCTTAACGACATTCGGTGCAATAATCCGTTGCAAATTAGCACCGTTTCGGAACAAGTTAAACACATGTGCGGTATTACACAACAATATTTGTAATCCGTCTGCAACGGGCCACACCGTTTTGTCGAAAGTTTGTTCACGCTAT